ATGTAAGAATGAGTCCACGCCAATGAGTTGTTCGACAACCCCGACCCAATGCAAGCATGGTTCACGTATCAATGCCTTGTGCATTCCTGGTCTAAGTTCGTGGAGCTTCTATTTCACTTCACATGATGCGCCGTAAATCTGCCCGCTCCGGAAAGCCTGCGACGAGGAATTTGGGTTTCCCTCTGCCTCCTTGCGCTTGCATTTTGTCAAAACCAAGCATGCTACAAGTCTGAAGCTCTTTTTTGGAGAGATGCGAGACCAGATGTTGGGGTCGGCGCTGCATGCCGACAGGAGCCTCCCAAAGAGCAAGGTGGACAGCACGGGCATACGTTGCTAAAAGAGCAGTGAATCTCGTTTAAGGGCCCCATGTGGCTCTAAAATCCGAGGTCGGCTTCACGCTGCGGAATGTCAGGGGGTGATTTGCATTGATCTAAACCTGCAATTGCATCCCTCGACGACCACACGCACAAATCTTGCACCGCAAAACACCCAACATGAATTGAGGGATGCCATACGGAATCAAACAATGGACCTTCACATCCCCCCTGTTGCAACCTGCACATATTGTTGTCTCTTGTCCCAAAAGCTAACTCAGGAATCCCCAAGAAAAGGACCTATATACAACAAAGGGTTTTCACTGGTTTCACCGCGCATCGGTGGAGGCACCCTTTTTGCTTGACTTGAGGGGAACCCTTTCCTTCCCAAAAAACCGGGGGAGGAGCTGAGACGCGCGTGGATTCCTCCCCTCTTGGAAGTGGGCCATGCCAAACTCCGTGCAGAAGACCAACGCGAGGCCCTGCGCAACCTCGAAAAACGTTCCGGAGCTGATGTGCCCATTGGAGTGTTCTTCGGGTTTTGTGGGTAACCAGCAGGCTAAATGTCTGATTACCTAGGCGGCTGGGATCCAGCGGGGTGGCTAGAACGGAAAGGGAACTGGGGCTTCTCCGCTGAAAAGAAAAGAAAATATGGGTGTGGCTCAAAATTAAACAGGAGGGGTTACGCAGGTGTTGGTCCATGTTTCCACTTACCAGGGTTCCTTTTTGGTACCGGATTTTTGAGCCACAGCCATATAGTAAGCTACCTGACGGCAAGGAGCGTTCAAGCAGGAACGCCCAGGTTGGGGTGTTGCCAACCGCCAAATGTCGGCTGATTGCGTCAATCGTTGAAACGTACTTCACACAATTTGGCTCCTACAACAACGAACAGAAGTCCGTGTTTTGCACCACTCACCCACTAGCATGGAACCCCCAAAAGCTTGTCCCTTTTTGAGAACAACTAGTCTTCTTGGACCCCCTCACTCTGACAAGAGCGGGAAGAGTTCTCTAAGACAGGTATCAAGGAGCGCAGTTTGGCGAGCTTCCCGCAATCACACAGCGGCTTGTTGGCCTGACCAGAATGCTAGAAGCTACAAAAGGAAAAGAGGAATACGGAGCTGCTTGGATTTTTTCCACACCAGCTAGGTAACCTTTTAGCTACCGGACGAAACCCAAAGAGTTTCCAAAAGAGGTTTCCATAGCTTCAACCATACCTGGGTTGAACACACCTGCTGAACTCCCCCAGGACGGGCGCTCGGATTCCCAAAGAAGTCTCTTGCCCCACGCTCGCTCCTCGCCACGAGTCAAAAGCCATAGTCAAAAGCCAGAACATCAAGTATGAACACCAGTCATGGGAAACATTTGGCTGATGCATGAAAACTCCTGCTAAGTGCAATCTGTTCACAAAGGACGGCAAATATCAACATGTGTTCAGCCGTACCAAAGAGCTCAAACAGCAACAGCATAAAAAACTTGAAAGCGGCGTAATTGATCCTCTTGCTCTCTTGGTGAATCCCAAATCGGCCATGAAGCATGATTGCACCCCCTTTTCATGCCGGAGCTGGAAGGGCGTGCAGCCTTGTAAGATAGCTGGCCGATGGCCACCTTTCCCATGCCGCAGCTCTTCCAGCATAGCGATTTAATACTAAGACCCTCAGTATATCCCCTCTGGCAAACTAAGTAGAACCTCTAGCTACATTTGGCCAGCAGATTCACTGCTGACAGAGTGTTTGGGCAGATGCAACATGCACGAGAAATCGTCTTGGGTCCCGGCGACACAGCAGATCGCCTGGTTTCCTTGGCCAGAGAAGTCCAGAGGCTCAAGGACTCCGTTCCCAAGGACTCCTGTGATAAGTCTTGATTGAACTGTGGTCAAGAATCCCCTCTGAAAATGGGGTCTGTGTGCAAAGGGGTCAGTGGCCACTACTCTACCTCGATGCCTCCCCCCCCCCCCCCTCCACAAAATTCAAACACACACACACACACAAAAACTATCCCGGGGTCTGTAGACATTGCCAGAGCTACAGAGCTATTCAGCTGGTTGATTCACAACTGGACAAGGATTTGTCTCAAAACAGACCCTCAAAATCGGGGACGTTTTCCATTCATGTTGACCCCAGATTAATCAACCCAGCATGGGGGCGTCCCTGGTGCCTGGGTTTAGTGGGAATCATCATTGGAGGGGAACACCCGCCTGATAGGGGTCAACAATGCCCTCCAAAACACCGAAAAGGGGAGGCTCTCAACGGGCGCCCTGGCCACCTGGAGGTGTCGATTGACCTGGAGTCCGCGGATCTCGACTCGGGCCCCGCGCGGAAAGCCTGCCAGCTGCCAACAAACTGGGATGTCACCACCTGGAAGGTTGGTCTCCCTTGGGCCAGAGGATCCGGACCCCCGAAAAGGGACTGGCTTCCTGGTAAGGGAAAATGAAGGGAACACCGATTTGTAAGGTGAAAATGGTCTGAAGGACTTCCGATTCGTTTTACACGGCGTTCTTGCCCAACTCCATCCAAAGTCCCCTCACGTTTTGGCCGACAGATAGGATGGCAATGGTTGAAAAGAATGGCAAGGGCACCACACATGCGCCGGACGTGCCAAGAATCAAAAGAAAGCCGCTCCCTTGCGAAGGAAGGCAAAGGAAACAAGGTCTTCAAATGCTCTTCCTCGCTTGCTAACAACCCGAAGGAAAACCACTGTCATTGACATGTCGCACTACAATTTCCGTGGAAAATGAAACTTCTGGCTTGAAGCAAGGCCCATCTTGTTGCATCTGCGTTTTTGCTTACAAAACCATGACAACTATCTGCCATGGGTATGTGAAGAGCGCATGTTGGCCCATCAGTCGGAAACCAGCAGCAAGGGACTCCCCATCTGGAGTCTTCAGTTTGTATTGTCTCTTGGGCTTCCGACAGCATAGCAGCGGCCTCGTGATTCCGGGGCAATGCAAAACAAAATGTATGCAACCGGGCACCTACAAACTAACAAGGTCCAAGGCAACGACTTGCAACTGGCTATCTACCATATCCAATACAAGCATGTGTCAAAAGAGCGGGACCCCGAGAATGTGGTTTTCCTTTTGGCTTCCGTCTAAGCCGACCTCAAGAAGGGTACCCTCAAAAAGCAGACACCCAATCTGAGTGCCAAAAGGCACCAAAAAAGGACTCGAGCGTGGGCTCTCTGAGGGCAGGGCGCCCCACACCATTGGGCTCGGACTCAGATTTGCTTGCAATGGCGGCTTCATTGATCGTCCCCAACGGATCCAAACGGGTATGGGCCTGGGTCAAAATTTAACCAAGGGACCCCATCTAGTAGGCGTTTCCATTTATCAGGGCAACCCATTCTGGGTACCTATCTT